TGCCGATACAATACATATTTATGGACCATCCATATTTAACAGCATCCTTTCTGTTGTTTGATTGGTTGAGGAAATTCAGTGAAGCTCATATTATGTAGCTCTCTTTTGATGTTTCAACATGAGCAGAGATGTGAGGGAAGCTCAGTCTTTTCAAGATTAGTAGACTTGATTCAAACGTTAACATTAAACAATTTCCAATTTTTCCCTGTTCACGAGAAATGGTTTGGCAGGCCAGCACGAGGGAGCCAGTCTAACACGTTTTTTTCACGTCTCGCTCGCTTTCTCGGGATCTGTCTCCCCCTGTCTATTTTTTTGTATTCCTTAACCTTTCTTTTCTCTCACTTCTGTCTCTTCACTTTTTCGCTCTCCCTCTCTTTCCCCCATCCCCCATGTGTCTCCGTCTGCTCTCGGAGAGGGATGGGTTGATTATCTGTGTCTGAAGTAAACTGCCCTTTCTGGCACTGGCCAAGGTCAATTACGGCCACACATTCAAAGCAGAATGAAAATAAGGGGTGAATCGCAGGTGCAGTAGTGACTTTTCCTTTCAAGCAGCTTTTTCTACCCCTTTTAATGTCATTTTCTTCAGCTTTACTTTTTCAGTAATTTCATCAGTTTTTAGATACATATTTGGAGAATTTTTGAAGCATTCGTTTACATTCGTAGGAAATTGGTTTTTCCATGATAGCCTGGTGAAATGCCAGGGGAGCTATATTAAAATTTTTACTTACAGTCCTCTAATTATTTCATAGTAATTCTCAACATGCTCCTACTGAGATCATCAACCCTTCCCATGTTGCATTGTTTCACACAGTGACTCTTGAAACATGAACAAAAGACCCAATGTATATGCATATTCGAATACTAAAAATACTGGTGTCTCTCTTCGGCAAAATAAAAAGGAAAGAGGGGAAAAAACTTAATTGCTAGGCAGTAGCCTTTCAAGCGTTACCATGGCTACACGATAGAAAGGTATGTGCTGTTTTAATAGCAGGCTGTGAAAAGGAAGAGCTGTCAAGAAAAGAGCATCAGGCAGAAGGCGGTTAAAAGCATGGATTGCCTCTTCCTCATAGTGTTTGCTGCCAGAGATCAAAGTTGGACAGTGTGACACATATCACCTGTCTAATTTGTTGTCTAGGATGCAAAATTAAATAAAGCTTTCATTGTATTAACCGCCGGCTCTCTTTGTGCCGACCCATGGGAGACTTGTGCAGTCAGCAATCAAGTTTAGCAAGCAAAGGAGGCCTAGCCTGCTCAAAAATGTATTCTAAATAGACATAACACTAAAACAGATGCTTTAATCAAATTTTTGTATAATTCAGAAGTATATATTTTATAAAGATGTTTTTTTAAATGTATTTTTATATTGATATTAATTAATTAATATTTATTTTAATATTTTATATAATTTCTAGCATAGGTGGGAATCTGCTCTTCTAATATGTAAATTGACCAATCAGAATGGATATGCTAATTATGGAATGTTGTTTGTTTCCAGCAAAAATGCAGCTGAAATATGCCTCCTTCCATATAAATAACCGATCAATATCAGCAGTAACCCTTCAAACCAATTAGCTGTCAATATCACTTTAGTGAATCTAAATTCTGCTTGTGATTAACACAACAGGTGGAGTGAAACAAAAACAAGAATTAAATAACAGTTTTAGAGAGACTTCAGATTTATCTTGGAATTGGAGTCTGCATTACTGAAGGATGTCAATATAACCCAATGACTGCACATCTCTGTGATTGTCTATTTAATTATTAGAACATTTTTAATAGAAAGAAAATCATTAATTAAATTTGACTCATTAGTGGTTTGTTGTGTTTCTTCCTGCAAGACAATAATTTAGTGATTTTTGTTGTAGGCAGCGTGTATATCTCTCTATTTATTTATGTATTTATTTTTTTCACTTATTTTAGTCAGTCAATTTTGTGTAGTTTTATCATACTCAAGACTTCTGAGTATCATCAAAGAGGGCCAGGCTTTGTTATAAGACACGTCTTTGTGAATCAGGGTCTTTGTACATTCTCTACATCACAGTAATCAATTTCAAAAGGAAAGCTGCAAAGTTGCCAAGATGAAAGAAAATTTGAAACTCATCTTCAAAATCATTAGTATAAACAAAAAAGTTTGTTTAGTTTGAGTCATTAAGTTGAATAATTAAGGAGTGACTAATTCTGTCTGTGGTCTTGATGAATCCTCTCATATTAAAATACTCTACAACACCAAAATAATTGTTTATTTTTGAAAACATTCAGAAAGTAGCTTAGTTTTGGCAGAATGAATGAAATGTTTATATTGTTCAGTGTGTTATGAATTTTAAGAAGGTGTGAAGGTTTATTTTAAGAAAGTGTAAATTAGTCAACGATACTGATTTATTTATTGAATAATCTTAACATTATATGAGGAAAAGAAAACTTTTTAAGACTATAAAGACAGTTACATTAAAGGGAATAAGGCTAAAGCGGCACATGAGTTTGCTGTAGTTGTCAGATATGATTAACATTTTGTAGCGTTCACTGTTGCTAACTAATTTAACTCGTCTTAGCTCTTTTGTGTAATAAGAATGGCTTATAAACTGACTCAACAGTTGAACTTTCACCTTTCTATGCTGTGAAAATCACCAGTGGTAGGATCTGGTTTGTTTTAAAGCCCTTGGTTAGCATGCAGTCAATGAAGTAAGCTGTTAGTGTTTAATCAAGGGTGCAAGAGAGCCTTCCAAAACACATCCGAGTTCAACTCCCTTACATAATGCAATTTCATCCCATTTATTCTGCCGTTGCATCTGACTAACATGCCACTTAGTTCCTGTCTTCACTCCTTTTCTAACCAAGTACCTTGTCTGGGGTTGACAAGAAACGATTTAACAGAGAAATAATAGACAGGAAGGAGTTCTGTGGAAATGCTTTTCTCTCAGCTTAAAATAAAACAATAGGGCTCCAATTTTGCACAATTTAGCACCTTTGTAGTAATATTTGTCCAACTATTGCTGGTTCTTAATATCTTTTTAAAAAGAGAGTGGGGAGAGTGGGGAAAGTGGGGTCAACTTTTATTAATATATATTATAGGGGTTTACATTTTTTGATTAACTGACCTTTTAAAATATAGGAGATATTGAATCTCATATTCAACAGTATTATTTTCGCAAGAAAGTATTTAGGATGTGATTTGCTGTAAAATCTGCCTCATTTGTCATTTAGAAGGAGACTTTTAGAACAGACACATATTTATATGCTTAGAACTTGCAGTCTTATACAGATATGAGGTCTTTAATGTGTAGTTTAATGATGGGTGTTAATGGAATTTGTAGATTTATAAATGATAGTTTTGGTGCTATTTACCAATAGAGAGAAGTGCTCCTAGGATTATTGAAGTGGTGGAGTTGTTGAATTGACAGGAAGCCTGGAAGCTTTAATCGATGCAGTAATACAACATACACAGTGTTTACAGATGGCACCAAATAATGGGTCATACAGAGGAAATGAATGGCTTTCACTGGCTAAATTAAGTCATTTTGACTTAATACACTGCAATATTTCAAAATTCTTAAATCAGTCAGAATGAAGTAAATATATATATGCTGCACAATGTGAAGCTAATACAGCTTGCTACTGTACATAGTGAGTCTGTTTTTAGTAAATCATTAAAAGTGAATTGTTGTTATAATGTTATAATTCTCATTTGTAAGCTGCTTTGGATAAAAGCGTCTGCAAAATGACTAAATGTAAATGTAATGGGTATTTTAATTATTTTAGTGATAATGCAATGTGACGTTCAGCGTAAGTATCAAAATAAATGAAACAGAACCACACCACTGAATAACCACTTGAATTACCTTCATTCTTTAAGATCTCAGTTTCACAACTCCGTGTGACAGCTGTGCCATTTTTATTTTAATCGATTGATTAATCTGATGGAGTCTTATGTTCTGGATAAGGAAGTGTGAGATTTTTAGTAGATAATGTTTACTGCTCCTGCTAGATTCACAGTCTGGCATGATCCCAGACTTTTCAAATGAACTGCAAAATGAAATTTCGTGGAGCCAAATGAAGTGTGGGTGTACAGTATGCCCACAAGGTGTGGAATCAGATGTACTGAAAAGATGGCGAAGAAGAGGTTGGAATGTCCTTGCCAAAGTGTGGATTGTGCAGTTGGATATGGATATTTGAAGAAAATAATAGACATTGGCATGGCTGAGCATGGCACCTGGAGTGAAGGTGAAAGTAGAGATTAATTTGTCATGAGTGAATATCACATTTTGTCTTGGGGCCAATTATTTTGTTTGTATGCTCATTGAGGTATCAGCAGACAGACCTGCAGTGTCTGCCTACAGATTAGACCTCGGGCGTATCACCATGCATACAGAGTAATAGGAAAATGTACAGGAATGTGAATGTTATTTTAAGAAGTCTCTGTGTTCTGTTACCAGGTTTGCTGTTTCTATTCTGTTAATTAAATGTACCAAAACTCCAAATACCAATGTACTGTAAACATACAAATTATAAATGTTATTCAGAGTGGACACCATATTTAGTGAATGAATGGAAACAAAGCTGTGAGGGACAGAAGTGCAATCTGTTCAATATGTCGTATAGCTCTTCTGATTGATAGAAAATGTCCCTCACTGCCAAATTAAGTATTGAGTTTATTCTGACTTAAAACTGTATGTTATAAATCAGTGTTTTCCAATCCTGAGGTTTCAAATGCTTAGGGATTTGTGATGGAACTGGAGGAGAGCTGTAAGATACAATAGAAATGGCAATGCTAAATTGCTACATTATAAAATTTTTTTAGAATGATAAATAATTAAGGGATATTTTATTGTATAGAATTAGGTCAAACAGATAAAGTAGTTTCAGTTATTCATGTGAAAATAAATTTCAGTTATTCATGTGAAATTGTGAAATGTTTATTGAACCATTTTTTAACTCTAAATCCCACACAGAATTTACCACAGCTTTTGTGTGACGCCTTCCTCTTGTGTCTCCCTTTCTTACAGGAACTGTTTACGCCGGAATGCAAGTTTAAAGAGTCTGTGTTTGAAAACTACTATGTGATCTACTCATCCATGCTGTATAGGCAGCAGGAGTCGGGGAGAGCATGGTTCCTTGGCTTAAATAAAGATGGCCAGGCCATGAAGGGGAACCGGGTGAAGAAAACTAAACCAGCTGCTCACTTCCTGCCCAAGCCATTAGAAGGTAAAGCGTTCTCTGAAAGTCTCAAGAGAACGGTTAACATCCAGGTCACTGTGACACTGGCAGAATGGTAATGAAGTGCACAAGCCCCTGAGAGATATGCTTTTGCTTGATGCCTTTTTACAGTTTTTCTCAAATGGTTTACACATTTTTTTCAAACTAAGGTCAAGGTTTTCAAAACAAGAAACACAGGCATCCAAACGCTTTTCCAAAACAGGTTGTACATTTTCATCGCGTTAATACAAATTACAACATACATAATTTTTATTGAGAACCCACACACAAAAAAATCTCCAGTCCAAGGTTCATGTTTTCAAAGCGTTTAATACAAACAACTACAGAGATGGAGGAGGTAGAAGAAGATAAGAGAGGATAGGAAGAAGAGATAAAGATGAGAGAGTGGAGGAGGAAGACAGAGGATGGGAGAGGAATAGGAGAGGATGTAGAATGAGGAGAGGAGAGGAGGAGGACATTGAAAGAGTTGAGGAAAGAGCAAGAGGAAATGATGTAAGAGGAGGGTGAGAAGAGAGGAAGGGGACAGCAGTCTCAAATGAGATGAGAGACAGTTTAATTGACACTGAGTCATAGTTTCTTGATAGAGGCCAGACAGAGTTCAGCGTAATGCGAGCAGATCTACATTGACTATAGAAAACCAAGAAAAGAGGGAGGAATGTCATTGGTCAATGATGACCCAACATCACCATCTGTGCTGTGCTCTCATGAGGCTGTACAACATCCGTGCCAGGTGTGAATTGAACATCTTCACCGTTACTTCCTTAGATGCAGAGCTTGAATTCATGTGGAAAATTATAATATCAATCAAACTGCAGTTGGGTTGTTTTGATTAAGTAATAATAACTTTTTGTTATAAAGCTTGTTTTATAGCAAAAGCAGATAAAAAAAAAGTTTGCCAAAAGGCAGATTCGAACCCGGGTCGATCACGTCAAAAGGTAGTTGACACACATTTTACCATCTGCACCACTGGAGCTAACGACTAGTGACCGTCTTTTGTCATGTTGACTAACCCAATCTCACATTGGTGGATGGAGTTAGTGTAATAGCCTTTGCCAACGATTTTTTTTTTTTATTCCCAACAGTTAAACAATTGCCCACAGAAAAAAAAACGGGGGAAAAAATATGCTGCAGCACCCCCACTTCCCACGCCTATGATGTATACACAGAGGAATGACTTACTACTATTAGTGCAGCAGGGAGACCGTGCCAAATTAGGCAACTCCAAGCTGTTGTGGTCACGCCATGACAACACTCGTGTCCGTTGTATCCGTCACAGTGTTGCCAAGTCCGCGGTTTTCCTGTGGAATTGGGCTACTTTATCACTGTTGCTGCGGGTTGATTTTCATGTCCGTGGGTTGAAGCGACCCCAATAACGTGTGTTTTAGCCCCCAGAACGTGATTTTTACCGGGGGACCCCTCGAAACGCAGTTAGTTTTGAGTAGCAATTGGGCGGGTTTTGTTATGAAAACCTGGCAACCATTTCCCTCAAGCAGGTAAAACGTGAACTCGCGATGCCTTGAAAGTAGACAAAACCGGCTTTTTTGACAAAACATGTTTAGAGTTCAGATCGCGCTATATGTGGAGAATAATGCATGGCAATCAGCTCTTTTTTTTAAAAGTGACGTTTATCGGTTTTTCCATAGTTATATATATTTATCTGTTTTTGCAAATGATCTCTTCATATATATATATATATATATATATATATATATATGTACATGTATACATGTCACAATATTAGATTTTTCACACCACAGTTATTGTGGCCAAAAGAATTCACGATATCGATATATCGCGATATCTATAGAAACTCTTTTTTATATTTATGCCTATTTACTTTTAAATTATATCTATATCATTTTTACTTTGTTTACTTTCTTTTTACCCAATGAGCATAAGGATACTGATAAACACTTTCACTTCTTCTTCAGGTCACAGCTGACCTGAGACTGGATTTCTCTGTCTTCTTTGAAGCTCTTTATGAAATAACAAGAGAGAAAATACTGTCAAGTTCAACAGTACGATGAATAAATAACTAATAACTAACTCAAAACTAATACTTTAACCTGTTAACTTGCTTGCCCGAATTTTAATCTATTTAACCTATCGTTGCGCCGGCGCCAATGCAGTCATGCAGTTAACGCACTTCTAATTCAGTATTAATGTGCGTCTAGAACGGCTGCAGATGAGGCATTAAGTGCATGGCCCTGTGACCAACTTAACATTTTACAGAGTTTAATGTAGCAATGTGTTCGCTCAGTTTTTCTAGATTTGTTTTAATCATATAATAGATTTGAACAAAGAAATCAAGTGCTGCGCACATGTATTGGCCATGACTTGATTGCAAATACAATTACAAAAATTAGACCAGTAGAGAAAACGTGGTAGTTATTAAAAGAATCACCCCTTTATTTAAATATATGAACACAGGAAACCGCTGTTGACAGGTTAATGTAACGGTTCCCATTCCATGACTAGTAAAATAATGGCAACTTACTGTCTGTAAGCATGGTTCTTCTCGGGAGATGCGCGGCCGCACGCTGCGTCTTCTTCTTGTTTGACAGGGGTCAGCGTTAAGGCACAATACTGCCACCTGGGAGGTCAACCAGGTACTGGCACTGGAGTAGGCTATTTGCGTGTCGTGTTATCATAAGTGTCCTGTTCATTTTAAATATTGTGGTTATCACCAATACCGGTATATCGTCACAGCCAAAATTAACACAATGTCCATATTTCATGATTTGAATATCACGGTTATCGTCAATACCGGTATATCGCA